AATCTCCGGAACCTGTAGCAGGGATGCTTGCCATTTTACCCGATATTTCAATTCCGATTTCATCCAGAACCTTGTTAACAATGGCGTCACTTTCTTCCTCATCTCCCGACTCGGTCAACATGTCATCTAGCGTATCGTTTATCATTTCGTCTGTCATTTCCATGTGCATATTTGCTTTTTGGAAGTCCCGAACATTGGCTGCTATACTCTCGGGGCGCATAACCTTGTTCATATCGCCCATTGTTTTTGCTGTTGTACCCATGGCATCTGCAAGCACGACATTTGTTCCAATATTTTTGTTCTGATAACCAATGGAGGTGATTTTGCTAGTAGCGGCAAACGTTCGAGACTTTTGTTTACGAATCTCTATAAGTTGTTTTGCCAATATACGGCAGACATCGTTGTTACCTTGCGCCGCGGCTCGTTTAATTTCTTGTTGCAGTTTTTTTTCCTCTTCTTCCAGCTTACGGCGTTCGCGCTCTATATCACGAGTTGCTTTCCGTAAATTCTTGTCATTTTCCCTTTGCTGTTCTTTGACTGTTGGCTTCTTTCCAAAAAAATTATTAAACATTTCTCGTTAAGTAGAATTGTATATCAAAAAATAAATACTAGGTGAGTCACCAACCGATTTTCACAAACAAAAGCAAATATTTAAAAGCATAACAAAATCACGTAAAAAGAAAATAAACAATGAAAGATAATCAAGGTTGCCACTGTGATTGTATTTTTGGGCCCCTATGGGCCCTGTCACACGGTCAGTATAATAATTTTTGTGGTGAACACTTATTATGATGCGAGAAAATATATATGTAATACTTCTATATTGGCAGTAAGCTAATTTCTCAATGATATTGATATTGATATATCTGTACTGTAGTGTTTTCGGACGGTACTAGCTCTTATTGCCAATATAAGAGTATTATATATGTGCGATAAAATATTTTTATTTTGTATTAATAATTTGCAGATAACGCTTTCCACAATTATTTTAAAATTTCCCATGTTAATAAAAATTTTTTCAATTTGTTTCGAAAGGTTTTAAGCAACGAGAACGAAAGCATAGCGAATACGTTTTCGATGTTCGCATTATGAGAGTACAAGATGTACAGACGAAATTTTTGGATCGCTTTTTGAAAGTGCTACTCGCTCAATATCTATTGACAATATTGCGATCCGCGATCGAGCTTTATATTTTTTTAGAAATTTTGCGATATGGATCACGATCCATCAATACTGCATGCTACACCGTCAATAAATATCGCGATACTGGGATCACGTCAAGAAATACTGACCGTGTGACAGTGCCCTATTATGAATTGCATTCGATCTTCGACTGTGGTCGAAAGTGCTCATGAACCAAACATACAAGATCACGTAAGAACGCGACGTTGTATTTGTAACTGGTTTTGAGAAAAAAGTTTGTGAAAGCGGGTTCGTCAGCTGAGCGTTTGTTTACATCACAAGCACCACTATTTTACACTTTTATTCAAGTAAAGAAGAGTTAATTCAACATGACAACACATTTTAAAGCATTTTGTTGCATCATTTTACCTAAATTGTGCGTTTAAAGTGGCTGACAATAATTTTGGCTAATTTTGGTTTTCGTTGTTTTCTTTGCTTTGTTTACTTTTCGCTCGTTTTCCAGTGAAACAAGATGGCGTAGAACCCGCTAAAAAAATCGACTTTTTTCACTCTCTTGTTCTTACGTGATCTTGTGTCTTTCGTTCATGGAAAGTGCTGATCGAACGAATTTTCATTTGGTATTATGGCGGTCATTCGATGAGGAATAGCGCTATTGTGAATTTCGCTCCTTTAGGTTGTTCACAATAGTATAGTTTTCACCGCTGAGAAGCTTTGTTTCTCAGTATATCCAGTAAACAAACTTAGGTGGCTATAAGAGTACCTGTGTAGGAAAATATGAATTGTATGCACTTTTTTGGTTCAGAGTTCAATAAACAGCCGAACCGTACACCACGCCTATATTTCTTTTTGCCAAAAAAGAATTCATCTTTAATATACATTTAGTATTACAGTACTACTGTAAAAATGTTAAGTACTTTGGTTATGAGATTCTCAATTTTGACCTCATGTACCAATTCCCCATATGCATATCGTCGTTTAAAGTACAAATCAGCGTATCAAGATAATGCAAGACCGCGTATGTGAACTTATTTTCTAGAGAGTAAGAACACTCATATTTCAAAATGGTTCTCTTTTTTTTATAAAGCAATCGCGTTTCTGGCTAGTATATTTCAGGACGAATGGATAAGGATTGAGCCAAGAGCTTGTGTGAGCAAATCCAATTTTTGGCAGCCAATGCCAGTTACGAGGTTTTGCAGAATGACCATACGCGGTTTTGTACTTTAAACGACGATATGTATCTACTAAAGTACTGCGAAATTCAACATTTTCTGTAAAAAGGTCGTTTTCTAAAATTGTATGCATTTCTATGTCATGTCAACACAATTAAGGGTTTGCGCTATGTCATTCCATCTCAAACTGTTTTATGGGCTGTTTTTGCTTACGCGTAAAAGCACATTTAGTGCATTTAGCTCTAAATGCTACTCTAAATGTACATTTATCCATACAAAATTCGTCACCTAAATGCAACTAAATGCAACTCCATTTTTGCATTTAGAATCTAAATGCTAAAAGCAACCCTGTGATCTTCCAAAATTTCCACGATTCGAACATGGTTTAATGAGAAGAAGTGGCAACATTGCTTTTTCGAGTATACAGTCGCTAGCTGCGTTTCAGTGATCGCCGATCGAGATTTCATTTATTATTTTACATTATTTGGATAAAGAAAAGTTACGCAAATTAAACATCGATATGATGCTGATAGAAATCTGGATTAATTTGTGATCAACTCCGTTTGTTTTGTTTCCTAATTAAGTGTGGAAATTATAATTGACAGCACCGACAAATGAATATATACACAAACAAATGTTTGGTTATGGTTAAAATAATTCAAGTTTTTGTATTGAATTTTCGGTTTAGAATTTATTTTTTCCTTTTCAGTAGGGATTTTTGGACATTATCTTTTCCGTGAGAATTTATCGTAATAGATACGGATCTGAATAAGCGACTGGAACACGGCTGTTTGTCAAAAGCATACGATTTCGAACTCGCGTAAATGTACATTTGCTAAATGCGATAGCATGAACGCTCTTCGAAAACATATGTTCGAAAGTGCTAAATGTTGCATTTTAAATGCAGCAAAAACGCTGCATTAGCCAGGGTACGGAAGTTCTCATTTATGATAATTCGTTTTCATTCATTTATGAAATTTATCATGATCGATAATATTCCAAATGAAAAATGCAAACAAATTTATCATCTCTCACATTCGGAATGCGATCGGCAAACAAATTTCCGCTGCTTTGCATTCGCGATCGAAAAAACAAAGAGGTTTCCTCTCACTCGAATATAATAAGTCCGAGCATTGTCCATGTCGGCCTCTCATAAATGGAAAAAACGATGCAAGTAATCCATTCGCCATCACTCACAACAGCTTATTGCGATAAAGTTATCGCGAAAAATTTTCAACGACGTTGTATGGGAGATATTTTTCGCGCTTGTTTTGGCTATGCATTTTGTTATGCATACAGCACTCAAAAATTGGTTTTAGGGCCTTCAAACACATTTTTCGCTAAAAAATACTACACTTTTTTTAATTAGAAGAGGTTAATGAGTGATTGGCTTCCAATTACACTGTACGTAATTTTTTAACTTTTGAAATTTTCTAAAAAAGAGATTTATAACGCCATTAATTAATATTCAAATGTAGATAGAATGCATTCTTAGTTTTGTTCCATCACGTAATTTTTCTTAGATAATGGCCTACTTAGGTATAGGTATATATCTTTGTCATCAAACATATATTATTTTTAATTTTTACTGCTTCATTTGTTCAAGGACTTTCTGAAATGATCCGACGAATAATTTTTTTGAACCCCTTCAGGAGTCCTATTTAAAAAAAAAAATGACTGAGACCCTGTCTGTACAGGAAAACACTGATGTCGTGATAACCATGCCACAAAATATATTTCTAATGGAGACCGCCTAATTCTCATGTGCTGTAATATATGTCAGCGCTTATTGCTTGACATCTATTGCAGGCAATTCGATAGTATGACAGCCATATTTTCATTTGGTAACATCGATGAAATTCTGATATTAAATCAAAATAAAAATCTGTTCCCTATTGGATTATTTATGATAACGTTTTAGGAAATTATTCAGCCAATTTTTTTTAAGATTTAAATGTTTTTAAACACCGAAATTGAAAGAATGTTGTCTAGTGGCGTCATACGGCAAATGGTTATTTCAAGACATCAAAGTGCCCCCCACATAAACTTGCAATCACATTGCTCGTCAAAATAACAGTTGGCAGGCCATTGGTGTTCGCCTGTGGAGTTCTACGGTTAAAGCCGTTTTTCTATGCTAGTTTTTTTTAGTCGTTATGTTCTTTTTCACGACATTCATATTGGATGTGGAAGATAATTTTCGAACGCTCGCCACAATGTTTTTGGGTAATTTTCAAACATTTTGTAATTGAAAGAGCGAAATTTTTCATATGGGTTTTTGTTTATTTTTAAATGGCTGCGTTTCTTTATACATTCCGGATAATCCCATTTCACAGCCGGAATAAACAGAATGCGTTTGAAATATACGTCAACATATCATCAGGAACGTTCTAAAGAATAAATAAACAAAAAAGTTTATTCCAAACGTTCAGAATGAATAAAGAAATGCAGCCAATAAAAAAAGTTCTTAAAACCTCGATATTTTTTTGTATCGCGATACTCACAGAACATGTTAAAAAGTATCGAGTACTCGATACTTCTCAGTACTCATGAAAAGTATCGACAATCTCTATCGTTCTATCACTAGTGGTGTTGGGTCAACAGCTGAGTTTTTCGCCGTAGAGGGCATTACGTCAAAATGATGTGTTTGTTGTAACTAATACCAATGACATTATGGATATCTGCGTGTAATGTGTTAGTGCAGGAACGATAGATAGTTCATTTCACCATGAAGGGAGCGGTGCGAGAGAGACAACTGTCAGTTTATCAAACCTTTTATTATTGAATCATGGGCGCGCAATTCGCACTATTCTCATTTACGTTTTTAAATAATTTTAACAACTCGTAAAATGTTTGCTGTAGATAAAAATTGTGAGTTGTCGAGTATTCTGCGCATAGACAGAAAGGGAAAATCTGTGGAGTCTTTAATTGGTGAATTCGGCGAAAAGAAGAATCACCTGGAATTGCAAAGATTGGTAGAGGAAACTAACACAACGGCGGTAAATGAACTATTTAAAATACATATATGCAATCGTTTTGACTGAATTGTTACAGTTGGTTGATATCTTAAAGTCGAAATTTGGTCGGAATGATTGTATATCCTTTTGGAGTTATCTTCTTGAAGGGCTTAGTTTTGGATATACTAGCCCAGATGTCCTTCAAAAGCGCTTTGCTTGTGTTAAATGTATGTTAGATACATTACAAACGGTAGAGTTGAGCTACAAACAAACTTATGATGTGGTAATTAGATTGTGCCATCACCTATCCACGTTTCCATCAAAACAATTGATTGAAATTCTGGAAATATGTATCGATGGTGTACGGATGGGAGATCGTAAATATATATGGTAAATTTTAATTTATTTTAAAAGTTCATATATTATAAATTATATTTTTATATTATTAGCTGGAAAGATTTACTACCGGATGTTCTGAATCTTTTGGCCCAACATCCGCAGATATTTGTAAATGGTATACCAATGAGAGGAAGTGAATACCGTGCAAACATAATAAGTAGCTTGACATCTTTGCGGTGGCCGATAGAGATTCTAACGCCGCTTGCAGATTTGTTTAAGTAAGTAAAATTAAGAAATGCAACTAGATATATATGTATAACCATTCCATTTTGGATAATCTTAGGGGACTAGGATTAAAAAGTGCTGAAAAGATTGCAGTACTAAATAAGTTTGGTGTAATGCTACAAACTTTGTCTCCTACCGAGCTGCCCGCGTTGGCTTTTCAGTTATTTTCTATGTGCTCAACATGTTCAGAAATTATGATATTACTTCTCGCTTTCGAAAAATATTTTCACCGTTTTTATTATAAGAAATTGTTTGCTGATATGCAAAGCAATTCAACCGACTTTGATAGCATAGGTTTGTATTGCTAAGATGTTTTATTGCCATTACTAAATTGTTATTATTTATTAGATGCCTATTCCGACAAGGAACTGCGAGAAGCTGAGGAGACCATTTTACATCATTTGAATTATTGCACACAGTTTAAAATAGGCGAAATACAAATGGCTGCTGTTCTGCGAGTAAGCTTATAGAAAATAATACTTGTCATTATAATAACTCGGTGCATATAAACAAAAACCGTTAAAGTCGAAAAAGGGTAATGTGAGGTATGAACAAAGATGTACAAGAGCAGATATGCCCATTTCAAAGCCCATAAGAGCTGGTCAACTCAGTAAAAGGAATTAGAAAAAGTTGAAACATAAACGAGCTCGTTATTACAGCTTATTTATGAAGCAGTCTTTGATTTGTTATTGGCCTGGCTAACTTGTTACTTTGTGAAGCACTTAGCAAGTGATATCAAACAGGTAGTAGCATTTAAGCAAAAACAACATTTGCGTGAATTTTGTTGTTGCTTCTGGCATAGAAAGTATCAAATGCTGGTCTGATTTTTTCTTCTAAATCAAAGCGGGCCATGTGAGATATAACAAAAATAAAAATTTAAAGAATTGAATATAAAAATTTGAATTTCGTTGGCTTCTCGAAGCATTGATCCATCCTTAGCAAGGCCCAGTAATCAGCGGTTGTGCCGCTGAGTTGGGCGAACGTTCCAAAAGCTGCTATTCAATCGCCTGTTTTACATGGAAATTGATTTCACATGCAAATAGATTTTAACAAATTTGGATTATTGTGAGAAAAAATTGAAAATATTTGACATCTTCGAGACCAAATAAATTGGAAAAAATATCAAATCAGCTGCTTACTACCTGTTCAATGTGCCTTGGCACATAGTATATCGCCGTGAGCTCATATCATGCCTTCCTTGCAAACCAAAGTTCCCCAAATCTTAACGAAATCTTTAGGAGTATCTCATTTCTGCAAAGATTTGTTTACGAAAAAAAATCTGCGAGAAATTCTTCACAAACCTAGCAGCATTATTTTCATTGCTTTGCCGATTTTCTTCCGAAATTCCGTAAAAAAATTATATGAGATCTTTACGAATTCTTTAAAATTTCTCTACAATTCAGAATATTCTGAAAAAATGGTTTTTAATAGCAGCTTTACCTTCTTCACCCAGATACGTTTTATTTATGGTAGTGCTCAAATTTGGCGTCCAAGAATGGAAGAAAATATGAGGAAAAATGTTATCTTATTATTTTATGTTAGGGAAAAGGTTGAACTATGATGGAAGTTTATTGAAACTTTTTGACTCTATAAAATATACTTTGCTTGTCCATTTGTTCGAAATTTGAATAATAATAATAATCGGCCCTATGCTGAATATCGTTATGTTGTTGTTGTAGCAGCAGTGCTCAACCCCCCAGATTAAGTCATGTATCGTTGTTGTTGTTGTAACAGCATACAAATTCCCCAAAGAGATTTTGGGGAGTGTTGCTGGAGTGACAGTCCTTGGCCAGATATAAATCTGGGTCGTTCCGGTTACGTAGACCCGACTGTCGTGTATCGTCGTCTTCATCCTCCGACTCTGTAAGCCTTAGGCCGAGAAAGCGGGCAGCGTCGATAGGCGTGGTCCAGAGCGCTGCTGGTGTCAGGGTCGTAGGGTAGCAGGTGCACGTGAAGAGGTGCTGGTCTACGTACGGCTCAATGTCTGCCTTCCAGTCGTGCAGGTGTCGCCTCACGTGTCGTGGGGGCGGTTCGTTTCGAAGCAAGGCATTGTTGGGGTGATTTCCTGGATGTTAGCCCACGAAGTATTGCTTCGACAACATGGTGTTATGTTATTAAACCGCCAGCATCTGGCTTTCTTCATGGAGGTGATGCTCGGATGACATGAGATGACAACCTGTAGCCGTACGTAGAGCTGCGTTCTGGCAGGTTTGGAGGTTCCTCTATTGGGTGTCGCTTTTCCCCGCCGTCCACACTGGTGTCGCGTAGTTCGCCACTGACCGGCTAATTGCCTTGTAGGTCGCGAGCAGAGTTTCTTTATTGGCTCCCCAGGTGCTGCCGGCTAGCGATTTGAGGACTTTGTTCCTGGCTCGGAGTTTGTTGCATGTCGCTGGGGCATGCGCGGTGAAGGAGAAGAGACTATCGAACGTCACTCCCAGGATTTAATGGTGATTAGTCGTCGGTATTTTGGCGTCATCGACGAAGACGTCCAGTTCTAGCCCCACCTCCTTGGGTCAGGTTGTAAAGAGTGTGGCGGTGGATATAGCGGCAGAGATTTGGAGGCTCCTTGCAGTGAAGAAATTGGAGAGATCGGTGAGATATTCGGTTATTTGTTCGCAAAGTCTGTCGATGTTTGGGCCAGTTGCCATTATAGTGCAGTCATCAGCGTAGCTTACCAAGTTTACTCCTGCTGGCGGCGGAGGGAGGTTGGCCATGTAGAGATTAAACCGTGTCGGGGAGGGTACGCCGCCTTGGGGGACCTCCTGTTTAATTCTACGCGGCTTAGACTTGGCGTTTCGGAATTCAACTGATGACCGACAACCACACAGATAGCTGGTTATCCACCGTTTTGTCCGAGCTGAAAGCGACGAGTCCAGGACGTCTTGGCAGAGGGTCGCGTTGTTCACTGTGTCAAATGCCTTCGACAGGTCCACAGCGACTAGGACCGTCCTATCACCGGGTCGACGTTGGTTCAGACCTTCGCTAATCTGTGTGGTATAGGTGTTTAATGCTGTTATCGTGCTGTGCATTTGCCGGAATCCATGTTGGTGTTCGGCTAGCTTCAGATGCTTCATCCGGCTGGGGAGGAGTATTGTTTCCATGGTTTTTGCCACGGGATAAGAGGGAGATGGGTCTGTACGAGTCTCCTGCGTCCGCCTTCTTCCCTGGCTTAGGGAGGGGAATGATCTTACCCATTTTCCACATCTCGGGGATGATCAGGGTGGACAATGTAAAGTTGGAAGCGGCGGTCACATACTCGAATCCCGCAGGTTCTAGCTTTTCCAGCATCTGCATGGAAATTCCGTCTGGTCCTAACGCCTTGGATGACTTGGCGTGGTTGACAGCTGCCTGCGTCTCTTCGGTGGTAAAGCACAGTGGTGTGTCTTCGGGGCGAAGCTTGTGTGCTTTACGCAGCAGGCTGCGGCGGGGTTTGTCTCTCTCTGGGTGTGCAATGAATTGCCGGCTGAAGAAGCACATGCACGACCGCGGATCCGACGTGGTGGTGGTGCCGAAGGTGAGAGCGACATTGTCCCTACGCTTCGTTGGATTGGAGAGAGACTTGACTATGGACCATAGTTTGCTGGCTCCGTTGGAGAGGTTGCAGGTTTTTATATGCTCATTCCATGTATTCCGAAATGTCTCTATTGAGATCCCTTTTGCGGGGATCCCCTGGATTAGCCTGGCGGATTCGATCACGCTCGTCTTCGAGTCCCGCCGCTTCTGTGGGAAAGCCTGGGCGGATTTTAGCGATCAGGCCGGCTGGTATGAAGCGAGCGGCTGCTGCGTTGATGATCCTGCGGATATTGCGCTTTGCTACGCGCGCGCATGGTGGTAGTGGAAGAGCATTTTTCGGATGTTATAAAATCTCTAGGCTCGTCTATCGCGACTACTATGGGCAGATAGTCTGATACGAGTGTAAGCACTGGTTGCCATCCAATGCAGTCTATCAGACCCCCGCTGGCTATAGTTATATCTGGCGAGCTATAGAAGTCACCCGCGACCCTGGAGGGGGCATCATCATTTACAGTGCATAACGTGGAGTCGTCAATTTGCTCGGCGAGCGGTGTACCCCGCTGGTCATTGCCCAGATTGGAGTGCCAGAGTTCATGGGGCGCATTGAAGTCACCTAGCACTACCCGGTTCACACCCTCTAACAGCGCACTTATGTTGGGGTGGTATCCAGCTGAGCAGCTGGTGGCGGGTGGTATGTACACATTGACGATCTCCAGCTCCGTATCTCCCGACTTGATGGCCAAGCCTTGACTGTATGAATGTATCGTTGGTATCAGTTCGGGGAGTAATGAGCCGGTATTGAACCGCGTTATGCAATATGAAGGCGATGCCGCCCCCGCGAAGCCGGGGGCGGTCTCTTCGGAGTACGTTGAACTCGTCCTGGCTCTGAAGGCTCAAGCCGGAGTGGAGTTTGGTCTCCTGGAACGCCGCGACTGAGATTTTATGCCTTCTCATGAAACCGACTATCTCAGCGATCTTACCTTGTAGTCCGTTGCAATTGAACTGCAACAGCTTGGTGGATTGTGGCCTTATGATGGTTACGCGCGAAGTGAGCGAGTACTGGCGCGCTGCCTGTGATGGTGGCTGTGCCTGAGGTGCCTTTGGGGCCTGACGTGCCGGTCCCTGACCGGGTGGGTTGGCCGCAGGCGTCGCCACCAGTGGTGGGATTGGTGTTTGCGCCAGCGTGTGTGTTGTTGGTGGCGTTGGCACGGGGTCTTTTGGTGCGGCTGGGCAACAGGCTGCAATGAAGCCAGTACTCCATTCTCGGTGGTGCGTTAGGCCTGAGCAGCGCTTTAGGTGGCACCAGTTGTTGCATGCGTTGCACCTAACTGATGTTGTGTTGCGTCTAATCAGGTTGGTGCAGACGCTGGAGAACCATCTGTCCTGGGTGGATGTCCTATGTTGCGTGCTTGGAGTTGGTCTACTGGTTGATCGTTGAGCGGGTGTTGGTTGTGTGGAGTTACGTGTTGGTTGTTGCAGCACGATGCAACAAAATTGTTACTTCACTCCCTGTGGTGCCGAAGTCCTGAGCATACCTTTAGATGGCACCAGGCGTTGCAGCGGTTGCAGCGGATTGAAGTTGAGGAGTCGTGTATGTTGCGGTGGCAAACACTACAGATCCAGGGTCCGGGATTTTGTTCTATTCCGGCGCGGACCAGAAGTATACGGAGCAGACTTGCCGGTGGGTCATGCTCCCATGGCAAACAACTTGGGGGGTTCCTGCTGTGGTCATGGGGTCCTTGGTCGGAGAGGGTTCTCCGAGTCAATCCGGTAGCGTAGAACCAACCATCTTGGGATTGCTGAATATCGTCATCGTCGTCGACGATCGTCAGCGCAACAGTAACATGGCTGACGATGACCGTATGACGATGACGATATTGAACATTCCCACGACAGCCGGTTCTACGTACCGGAATGACTCGGTTTTTACCCGACCAAGGGCTGT